CCCACTCAGCCACACCCATTCAGGGTGCCAGATGTTTAGGAAAGATATATTAGCATATTTGATTAATTTGATAATGATTACACTTTGTTGATCCCCATGGGAAAATCCCTGTATCACCTACCCCATCTTGCTCTTTGTAGGTGAGAGCAAAGGGCAGCAACCCAGGGAGCTGGGGATTAAAGGCCTTGCCCAAGCAGCCACAGACATGCTGAGGAGGGACTCAAACCAGCAACCTTCCAATCACAGGCACAGAGACCTAGCCTACCGAACCACTCCGATGCTTTTGGCCTAAGTGACTACAGTAGTAGGAAGACACTGAGACGACATTAACTTTGGCATTTAAACATGATTTTTCAACAGTATAGTTTGTTACAAAAATGTTTAGATCCTTAAATATATAGATACCATTTCCACTTATTTTCTGTCTTGAAACTTTATTTAAATACTTTGATTAGAAAGTAATATTAATAAAAACTATTAAAAATAAATGCTTACAATTAAGAAAACAATGTTGATTTACACAGGTGACACTTGACTGCCCACACCAGGCCTCTCCCTCGGAATCGCAGAGGTGGCTGTCACATTTCTTGAATGTTTAGTGATTTGTCCCATATTTTGATACACATTTCATTTCCACATATTTAACCAGATTTCATCATGGGGGAGTCACCGGACATCCATGTGCAGAGCCTGAGGATGACACCTCCAGACAAGTTTGTGTGAATCTCGAAAACTGCTAGTATGTTTCAGTTTTTGATTTTCTTCTTTTTATTTCTAGTAAAAAAAATATGTAATTTTCAATTTTAAAAAGAGAAATGTGTACAAGAAGTATTTGTGAACCTGAAAAAAACCTTTTAAATGGATTTAATACTTTTATAAGGCAGTATTTATATTTTATATATTTTCTTGTGTCAAATTAGTATATATTTAACAATATCTATTTCAAGCTTCATCGAGGCATGAAAATGAATTACTCAATATTTGTGTGTGTGTGTGTGTGTGTGTGTGTGTGTGTATGTGTGCCTTGCATGGGTTTGTGTCCCATCCTGGGTTGCTTCCTGATTTGTGCTTGTAGGCTCCAGACCCCCTGTGACCCTGAATTTGCAGGACCAGTCAAAGGTTTGGACATGCTAAGCTGCCTACAATGGAGTGATAGTGTCACATCACATCACATGACCTGACTGCTGACCTAAACATAGTAGAAATGATTTTGGAGGAGTTTGACCAGAGAGTGAAGGAAAAGCAGCCAATGAGTGCTCAGCATATGTTTGACCTCCTTCAGGACGGCTGGAAAAGCATCCCAGGAGGCCACCTCATGAAACTGGCATAAAGACAGTAGGGTCAGTCAGTCCCTGGAGCAAGTGGGGTGAAGGGCCTTGCTCCAGACCCCAATGGTGGGACCACTTTGCTGACCCAGGAATTTGAACCAGCAACCTTCTGAGTCCCAACCCACAGAGCTCTCCCCCAACTAATTATTTTTTTTACTTTTTTGGTCAGTGCATAGTTCCATAAATGTCGTTTAATAGTGTTGGTGTCTGCATAATTATTCTAAAATAAAGAGTACAAAAAACCTTACTTTGGTTAGATGTGTCCCAACTTTTGATGTCTATATTTATTTATTTATGTAAAAATGTCAAATCCATTTTTGATGCTTGATATGTCTGCTAAATATGTGTGGCTCTGTGGGTTAGGGATTTGTGCCTTTGGTCTGAATGTTGCTGGTTCAAGAGTGATTTCACCATTGGGACCTCGAACAAGGACCTTCATCCCCAAGGGCTTAGTTGTATGTTGCTTTGGATAAAAGCCTATGCCAAAATAATAAATGTAAATAGCTGTGTTAACTTGTACAGTAGCAATTATGGCCTGTAGGGGGCAGTATTGTTTATTTTCTAAATATCATGCTTCCCATCAGAAAATATTTTGTGTTTCATATGTAACCATAACATAACAAAGATTTACATATCATTGTATCTTTTCTTGTCTATCATTAAATTATTTGTATATTGTTATGATTTAACATCTTGTTTAATTTGTCATGCAAACAATGAATGTTCTGGGGTATGGGAGGCCTAAACAATGAAGTGCACTGAATGCCATCCTGCTCCATTTAACCTGAGCAGAGGTCAACCTTGCCCATTCTCACTATCCATCACTGGCTCAATAACTATACTGATCATTCATCAGCAGCATGCAAGTACTGTAAACTACACCATAATCTGTACCTTCCTCCTAAAATAGTGCCTCTCTGGTTCTGAAAGCTATGCAGCATCTTCACCTGAGGGGTTATTTACACGCCAACAATGGATATGAAGACGCAAATTCAGCCAAATTATTTTTCATATTTAACGAAAGATCAGTCAGAGGTACAAACAAGCAGAGTTGGTGAACCTCCACCCATAATGCATTACATTTATTTAACAGATGTGTTGTGCAAAGGGACGTACAAGTGAGGATCAGAGAGGAGGGTCAAACAGTGTCCCTGGGGCTACTGTGGTTAAGGGCCTTGTTCAAGGGCTCGGTGGTAACATCACTCTATCTGCCACATCACAAACACAGGGTTACACATCACCAAAATACAAAAAACAACAAATGGTTAACATTACATAGGCTGTGCGCACTGAATGTTCTCTTATTGTGACAGAATCTCTCTTTTGACACAGTAAAAGCATTTGATAGGGTTGAGTGGAAATATTCATTCCTTACCCTCCAGTTTTTGGGGTGCGCTTAAGTATTCATGGGATTCATTGACTCTGTAACAACCCTAATGTGGCTGTGGTCACAAATTGCTCATATCCACTTAATTTATTCTCCACGGCGGTGCCAGAGAGAGACAGAGATGTCCATTACCTCCCCTCCTGCTTTTGGACACACTAATTTCCCACAGAGACCAGAGTGGCCCAATCACACCATGTTTTATCAAGATGACACACTTTTATCTACTTCTGACCCAAAGTGAGACCTATCCCTGCCGACGATGACTGAAATTTGGGGTCTGCATTCTGATTCATTCCCAGCTAACACAAAGTCTCAGTCACAGCCACTGAAACTGACGCATTCAATGGGAAAAAATCATGCAGGAGACTCAATTATGTTGCCTTTTGAGAATGAATAGCATGAGCATCTTCTCCCGGCCCAAAAGTAATTATCATGTCACAGTGAATTGCCCCGACCAGTGACTGCTGGGGTGTGAGCCACACATGACCAGGACCGCATCATGATGTGAGGCCCATGGGTACCTGCCTTTCGGAGCTCCACCCCCCACCCCCCGCCATCATGGGAGGGCACATACAGGTAAAGTGCACAAACCACACAAAGAGTCTGGATTCTGATTAACTACCAAAGCCACATGTTTTAACTAGCTTGCCGTGCTGTGGCTTGTCAACTAACTACCTCTATCTGAAAGAGACAATTTTACTAAAGGTGTGTTTTGGATTAGCAATGAGACAGCAGCAATGCTGAATCTTTTGATTAGCACTAATACCTGTCTACCTAGGATGACGACCACATCCACAAAGCCAGTTAGTTAGCTAACAGTACATCGAAATATATGCTAACATACTGTAACTTTCAATTAATAAACGGTGTGTGTAAAGAAGGGTCTACTGTTAAATTTCAACGCTACAAAGTTACACTGAAACATAGGGGTTTAAATCACCACTAGTTCCGTTTTTACTAGCTTCCTATGTTTTGATTTGTTCGGTCTTGAACTACCTCACGTTATCGGACAAGTTAGCTAGCTAGCACTATTAGCCTATGTCTAAGTGACAGAAGGATGTAATTTTTCCAAAAATTAATGTCTTTGTCAAGTCATTGATGTAGCACATTTAAAAACAGCGCCAGCTGATCAAAGTGCTGTACATTTCTGACAACATCAAAAACATATCAAATAGAAAAAGAAACATAACATGTCACCACAAAGCAAACAAATCTGACACAGAAATTGATAATTAAACATACATATAAAAAATAAATACACAAATAGTTACCGATTCTAATTGGCCACAGGGGCTTCACACCTGGCTCCTTTGTATAGTTCTTATGTTCTTAAATGAGCAGGACTCTGCCCTTGAGTACTGTGATTTGAATAACCCTAGTATAAGGAAGCCGACCTAATAGACAGAGGAAGACTGTTTCAAACTTTGGGCCCGAGCTCAGAAAAAGCCCGATTCCCCTTTCGTTTTCAGATCTGTCCGTGGAACAAATAAAACTGATTTATCAACTGATGACCTCAAGGATCTAGTTGGAGAATAAGGGACTAAGGGGTCAGACAGGTATGTGGGGGCCAGGTCATTTGAAGCTTGACCTGGCCATTTGAAGCTTGACCATTTGAATCTTGAAATTAATCCTGTAACTAACAGGAAGTCAACGATTCTGATTTGGTAGTGTCTCTACTTCTTTGCTAGGCTGTCATATGGCACCACGCTACAGTAATCAGGTGTAGGGGAACTGAAATGATGAAATGCTGCATGGTAATTGTTCGCACAAGTTCGGCAGGGATCCACTGTGGCTGGAACAATTTTCACTGCAGTTCGGGTGAATTATACCTCCTCCTGTGAAACAATGTAAATTCACATCACACACAGGGTGGATGCAGCACGGAGATAAACTCCAGCACCTCAGAATACTGATTTCAGAGCCTGAATGCAGAATGTCCTATATGTGACTCATGTGAGAGGTGCAAGTACTGCTAGGTATTAGCTATATATTTACACTTTTTACACACACACACACACACAGTACAGTGTCATGTTGGTTTAAAACAATAATAATATGTCAAAGTGTCAGCTTAGCCATTTCCAAACATCTCATAAAATCACCCCTGGATTTGTAGCAACCATCCAATACTCCAATGTATTTACCTCACCTTGCTTAGCTACTCAATACCTCATTGGGTTATAAGCTAATCAAGTTAATTAATTATTTAAGCTAGTGTTGAAAATTAACAAGAGGGGTGTTCATGTAGCTGTCTATCAAGATATCATTAACTTCAGAACATGGAAGAAATTCATTATATTTTATTATGTTACTCTTAAGTGGCATATGTTCATTGTTAATGTGTTTTTATGCACAAATATACACTTACTACTCAGGAAAATAGCCTTAAACATTTTGTTTGACTGCCTAAGACTTTGGGAGAGTATTATATATACAGTATAGACAGTTAAAATGGCCTGATTGTTCCCAAGGTTGGTGAATGCTATTGTTCTTGGAAAAGTCTCTTATTGCACAAATCAGAACAAATTTCCTAAGAACTTCAGTAACCAAACTGTGAGGCTTAAACATTCTGTTGCTCCTCACTAAAGGTCTGCAGTTGAAAGTTTGGACTTTGTGTGGTGTAAACTGTAAGGCTAAAGGAGCAGGGTCTTGGGAAAGTTTGACTTATCTTATTCAGGGAGGGGAACGTGCTGCTTTGTCACGCACAGCATGTATTTGGTATAACAGTATGTCAGTAGTATATTGCAGCAAACTTTGTAGCCTCCTTTGACACAGACTAGGTTTTGAATCTTGATACTGACCCCACTACCCCAAATAAAATTATCACCTGCGGCAACCCCACTGGTGGGAATGAAATGCAGTGCTGCAGGATTCCGTCTGTGACCCACATTACAGCAGTCATGGCAGGCATTGTCCAGGAGAGGGCAGTACATCAGTCCTGTTTAATTTGCCGTGGGGACTTGATCTGCTGGCCATGTTGTACGTGTTGCTCCCATTGGCAGTGGAAACTTGGACTTCAGTCTTGCCATGGACTCCCCTGCTGAATTTGCTCTAATATTAAAAGATGGATGTATAACAATAATCATAACAACCTCAAAACATAAAATGACATGCCACATAATGAAATTCAGCGCATGCGTTTTCTGTAACTGCTTATCCTATTCAGAATGGCTGGGGGTCTGGGTCTATAGGTAAACTCATAAAACAGGCAATTTGGTGTTTGGATTATGAAGGAAGCACCATGCTGAAGCATGGAGCCACGCCAGAGACCAAGGCAACAGTGCTAACCACTGCACGACCGTGTCTCCCCCACAAGTGAACTGTTTCTTATATTTTTAAATGAAGCTTCAATACTTTTTCTATAATAGTGCCACAAGATGATACCAATGTATTGATAAATCGCGCGTATGTTTTATTTTGATTATATCTTAATTTTTTCTGGGGACTAAGAAAGCAAGTACACGTACTGCTGACCTTTCGGGCATCCCGTCCGATCCATCCGATCAGCACCTAATTCAATAAAAGGCAGCGTTGCCAGTAACGCTCCTTGGCCAAAGAGGGGCGCTCCCGGTGATATTTTATTCCCCCCCTCCCAGAATAGCAAACTGGCCGATTCCTTCCAAGCCGTTTCCAGCTCGTAAACTCGCACAAATGGCGTCTCTCCGTTCGCACAGCTGATCTGACTTACATACATATATACACTGCGCAAGGCTTTTTCAGCGCAGCATTTGCTATTGCATGAAATGTACTGTAACGTGTGGTAATATAACTGCAATGCCTGCGTAGCGTTAAAAAGGGACGGCGCCCAGTTGCTAGAAGAGACCCCGGGGTCTATTGTTATTTCCCGCAGAAGATCGCCTTCAAAGCCGCATGCAAAGGTAAAGTTATATACAATGTCGATCGCTGATTCTTTCGTTTCTTTTTTTCGCCCTCGAACACAATCTGCAATATATTCGCTACTGTGTGTCCTGATTAATCTAAATCTCTGTGTGGATTTATGATTTAGTTTTGGCAGAAAAAAGCGATAAAAATAGCCCGTATTTCCCCAGTGTTTAGTGTAATTTAGGACTGTTCGTCTGCAATTGCAGCGATCGCTGATCCAGTTTACGCAGTATTATGAGTCCGAGGTGAGCCTCAGGTACCCTGCTCCCAATTTCAGGGGGCGACGTGGGCTGTAGAAAAATAGTTTTATTTAGCTAAAGTATGGTTTCGTTAGACCAGTATCAACAGCACGTATTCCGCGCTTAGTAACATCTTGCAGCTATTAAGGATATGCAGTTGACTGGTTGTCATTATTATTAGAATGTTAATTTAATTTCTTTATTTTAAAAAAAAACCACTGCTCAGTATCACTGGTTTAGCATCACTTAAAATGAGTTTCTCACGATTGTGAATTTAATAGTACTTCAGTATCAGATAATATATTTCCGTATGTTGCTTTAATTAGTTTAAGCGGCTTGAACTTTGTATCTATTTTATTTATTTGTTTATTCGTTAGTTTAATTGTTTTTAGGTCGTCGCAAACTTTAATTGTAAGAATGCTATCAAAATGAAATCAGACTTGCTAATGGAAAGGATTTGGATAGTGCATTTGTGTACTGAATACGATCGTAACCGCATTAATGATATTGATGACATGGTCCCGCTGTTAAGAGTGACTGGAGATGATTTTGTGTCGCGGCAAATAAAAAAATGTGCCAAATTTAAAAGCTGTATAACCTGCATGGATGGATGGATATGTATAATAATAATAATAATAATAATAATAATAATAAGCGAGTTAAAATATTAGGAATTTGGGACTGATGCCCCCTATAACCATAACCAGTTTTACACAACAAGTAGAATGTTAACCTGAATGGAGGGAACAGAGTGTGAAGTTATATGCTTATTAAACTGAAATTCTAAGGTTATTCATTTTGGTTTGCTAAACTTAGTCTCTCCATTGCAGTAAAATTCTAATAACTTTAAAATGTCAGTCGATCCTTTTCTGTAAATTATGCTAATGCGTTTTGACAAGCATGGGTTTTCTTAGTTTCTTTTGCCTTTCGTTGGTATTGATTGAAATTAAGTAGATCTTATCTAGAGCATCTTCATAGATTACAGTAGTCGGTACAGTGCAAAGGCATATTGGATTATTTGGTCAAAGCATATTTTTCACATTCATTTTTTTAAACCAAATTTGCGTGGGCCTTATTAGAACCACCTGTTGAACAACAGAGATTGGGGAGTCTCGTGGTCATGTGATTCTTAGTACACTGCTGATTGGTGAATGGGCTTTGGGGGCGGGTTTTTGTAATGTCCATCAGTGTTCCATACCATTAGGTCTGTCTAGTGCAGGGAAGGGCAGGGGAATACCCTGGAGGGGATGCGAGTCCGTCACAGGGCACACGCTGGCACAGACGCACATACACCACGGTCTATTCCACCTAACTTGTAGGACATACAGACTCGACAGCCCCAGAGCTGGGAGTGGGATTCAGGTATGTAGCAGTGGAGGTGTCAAGCTACAGTTCTGCCTGAGTTATAACACATGGAACGCATGCAACATACATGCATGTAATGTGTACAGCTGTGGCTTTGTGTGCACTGGGGGGTTCTGTGTAACTCTGTTTAGAGAGTATGTTGCAAGAAAAAAATTAGATGATTGAGCTTCCTAGAGTTTTTTAATGCCTGGGGAATACAGTTCTGCTTTGCATTTTTATTTTGGCTTTAACTAGTTGTGGTTGCAGGAAATCTGACAGACTGCTATACTGTACACAGCGCGGGGGCTCCCTCAAAATACCACTACTGCCCGGTGTTTTGTTTTGCCTGTCTCTGATAACGGCTTCATTTTAGCTGTAACAGTTTGGTCCTCCATCCATTAATTGCTCACCTTTAGTGGAGTTGTGGTGCGATTGAGCCTCTCCCATCATGCCCTGGGGCACAAACTGGGTTATACGTTTAACAGGAAGCCTGTCACGGGACACGTACCCACACACATACATAGACACCAGCTAAATGCGTTTTAGCACAGAGGCTCTGCAGATACAGAGTTGGGGCCTGATTCACGCCCGCAGTGCTTGAGGTGTGAGGCAGCCTCAGTGGAGCATCACTGTGTGGCACCTCACCTCCGACTGGAACGGCACGGGTGCACATGCATAACTCTAAATGGGTAGAAGTTCCTGCCTTATCACCCTGTGATATGTTTTAGTGTTTCTGTTCTCTCTGAAGATGAAGCTCAGCTTTATTTTTGAATGTTTAAGTGACTTTCTTTAGTATGCATTGTCTTTATCGTCGCGTGTTTGTGTCAGTGGTTTTTAGCATTTTGATGAGTGTATGAATTTTTTTTCGGTTTGTTCTTGTTTCTTTTCAGTTGAATCCACTCCGTATTGTCCTGTGAAATGAAATCACTGGTGCCTTTCTCTGTGCCCCTATCCTCTGCAAAAGTGCCCCATGTAAAACGGTAGCTATTAGCTGGCCTGCTTTAGGCCACCTCAGACACAGGAAGTGCCAACGATGTCACCATCCAGCATCAAGGACAGATGTCTTTCTCCTTGTTCATTATAGCTTTCGCTATTTATTGACTTCAAAGATCAAACGCTTTCTCAAATTTAAGGATCCAAATTTGTGCTTGTGGGAGCTTTACTTACACAAAATGTCTCTCCTGCATCCTTCATCATATCACCCCTCTCCCCTGCATAACTCCCTCACCCCATCCTGCGGTGTCACATGACTTACAATGTTTATCTTTTGATTCAATGCCTCCGGTCTAAAAATAGCTATTGTATCACCTCCAACAGCATGTCATCCTCTGCTATGAGAGCCTACCTACACGGCTGAACCTTGGTAGATATTCTGATAAAGAGAGCGGGTCCAAGTGGCTTTGGTGTCTTTGCCGCTGCTGCTTTTTGGCCCGCTCTTATCCCGCTGTTCGCCTTTGTGCTACTTCTGTCCTCGGAATAGCTTTCCTGATTTGTCCATATTATTTGTACCACGGTATCTCAGGGTATGCCCTGGGTTCCAGCTGCTGAGATATGAAACTGTCAGTCTGAATTTTTTTCTGGCACACGGTTCTTGTTTGTGTTCTTTTCTTTTTTGTAGGATCTCTTTTTAACAAGAATGTTGGTGTTGCACCCCTTCTGAGTCTATGAAAGCCTTTCTGCTAGTACTGATTGCTTTATTTGAATACATAGAATTCCCGGGGGCAGCCTGGCTTGTGAAAGGCAATGGTTTTTGGCAGGGGGAACAAAAATGTTAATGGTTGAAAGGGTTATAATGAATTAAAATGACTCCAATCTGAGCCACTCTTACGGTCTTTGGAGCGTTTGGAAGCTGTTAGAGGATAATAATTTAAAAGGAATTGACACAAAGTTCCATCATTCTATTCTTGAATAGAATAGCAGTATTTAATTTATCCCTGTGGGGAAATTGGGTAGTTTTTGCATATCCCATCTTGCTTTCCATGTTACACCTGCATATTATATAGCTGATTTAGAGCACAGGGTCAGTGGGGATTAGGGAGCAGTTGGGCATTAGGGCTTTATTCAAGGCCCCAACAGTGATGTCTGGCTGCTATAGGATTCGAACCCACAACTCACAGGAGCACAGAGCTATAACCCTCCAAATTACACGCCACCAGATGACGTTTAAGATTTTTGGTTCTTGGAGCAACGTGTGCCAGCGTTGAACTGTCTTGGCCATGTCTGACTATAACCATGATCACTATAAGCGATTTCCACTGTCTGTGTGTATGTGTAATTTCAGCACATCACAAAGAAAACATGCAGTTACAACTAGGGATGCACTGATACCATTTTTTTCAGACTGAGTATGAGTACCGATGCTCACTTTACTTCAAAAGAGAGTGAGGTAATGCAGTCAGATCAGCTAGGCCAAGAACCTCAGAATGCGGAACAATGACAGCAGGGCTTTCAAAGATGGGATGGTTCACAGACAAACCACTTCATTAAGTTTGTTGCGTCATGTTCTGTTTTGCTGGTCTTGCTGGTCCTATGCCCCCCCCCCCTCACCCCCCTGTCTATCTCTCAGAGGTTTTCCTGGTTGCCTGGTATCTCAGTCATCAGCAGGGAGTGTCCTGTAAGTGCATCAGTGCACAGGAAGCCAAGCCTCTTCCGTCAGTGGCCTGCTTCCTCTCGCTGGTTTTGTTGCTTTACGATCCAGGTACTTTCTCTTCATGGTCAGAAGGGGACAGAGGCAGATGGAATGAGCTGGGCGAGTGCCAAAGCGCTGCTGATTTATCTCTGAAGGCTTTTTACGAGGCTCAGTGCCGTGTGTGTGTGTGTGGGTGATCTGGAGTGAAGCTGCTTCGAGGTTCTCCCATGAGGGTCCCTATCTGTCATAAAATGGGTGCGATAAACAAGATCAAAGCAGATCTAACAAACAGTCATTATAACCCCAGATAATGAACCATTATCATCTAGGAACTATTGTTGTAATGAGGGTGTGGGTCTAATACCGTGCTCACGTTCTCGTACTCATCGTCATGGCAATATGCCGATGCATCTGTAACTGATACCGCGTAAGGATGTATCAGCAGTGCAAAATAAATGGGACAGAATGTCTACGGTGTGGAAATACTTCAAAGTTAACAACAAAATCAAAGCATAGTGGACTGCAGACTGTTTTGCTCTACTAAAGTATGAAGAGGAGGTATGAAATTGGGGTTCATACAGCACTACTTTGGATTGTCTGTATATCCGTTTTTTTTCAGGCTTTCACATTTCTTTTCCAGCAAAAAATTAAGCGCCTTGCTTTGTCCCAGCTAACAATTTTTCCTTCGAGGAACGTGTACTGAACTTTACGATTAATGTATGGAAATGTTCAAAGTGTCCAGATTTCCCAATATTCCCAGAAGGTTATCCCACTATTACAGCAA